TGTTTAAAAGTACAAGAATCACATTCCTCTGCTCTGGCCAAGTCCTTTCAACAGAATCATTATTAGTTTCAAGAATAGGAGTACTCAGGAATGGAAAGGGATTTGAGACACTATATAGGTTTATAAAGTCCTATAACTAGCAAGAAGCAGAAGTGAGATTCACATAGAACTTCTGGCTCCAAATGAGATCTTCATCTCATCAATAGATACGGCTTTAAAAAATGAGCCTTATGACTTACTATTGAGAAATTCGATGAGTGATGTAACCAGTCAAACTTGGCCTAAGAATGGGATAACTGACATGGACTCTACACCTGTTTGTTAAACAGAATATTATAGATAAGTACACATATACACATGCATACAAATAGATAATCACAGATGCATGTATAATTCTCACAAAACTCTCGTGGGGAGAATAATACCATTACCCCTAATAAGAGATGAGGAAACTGAGAATGTGAGTGAGGGGGATTGCCCAAGGAAAAAAGAGCTAACCAGTAGCAGAGCTATGACTCAAAAATCCATGATCTTTCTACTCTACCACGGTGTCTCAATTTCTTCATTTGTAAAATGGGGATAACAATAACCCCAGTAACAGCCTTTCTAGAGAACTTGTTGAAATAATTAAACGACATGATATCCCTTAATCAACACACTCTAACAAGAGTAAAATATTATTAGGTAAGAGTCTATAGACAACTGTTGTCTATTTTCACCTAAGAAAGAGCAACATACACTTTGGTTAAATTCAGGAAGAACCAGATTTGGGCCTCCAGTAATACCATAAATGACAATGTATTAATCACTCTTAGTTTTCATTTCTGTGAGGCCTTTGAGAGCAGGGACAATTCATCACTGAACTGTGCACCTGGCACAGTCCTGCGTATACAGTATATGTTAACAAATTTTCGTTGTATGAATTAATACAGTGCTAAATAGTGGATGCCTTCGAGATATTTAAATTTTCAGATAGGAAATCTATACAAGGAGACTAGACAGTCAACTGATGAGAAAAAGTAATCTTTAAAGGCAAGATTACTGAATTCTATTTTTCAAATAGTCTTTTCTGCTGCCTCTTATTCTTTGTTGTTATATATTATAATACATAGCCATTATGAAACAACAGAATTCCCTGGTATCTTCAAACTGATATTAGAAGATATTTATTTAAGTTTTGCTATTATCTGAGAAGTGAATAAGGTAAGCAACAGAGGCTAAAATCAGTTTTCGTCTTCACCCATATTGGTGACCCTGTTCCAACTAAAAGCGTGGCCTCACATCAGGCCTCTTTATTTCCTCCTTCATTTTCAAAGGAGTTCACTCTGCTTTCGTCCTTCCCTGTACACTGTTGTTATAACCACTGCAATGAGATCATGCTACTTCTCTGCATAAAATTCCTGTGACTCACGATTGTTTTCAGGGTAAAATCCAAATCATCTGTACGGCTTACAAGGTTCTGTATGATTTGCTTCTCACCTTCTTCCATTGCTTCTCTTGCCATTCTTACCCCCTTAACAGTACTCCTGGCCCCCACCCCCAATCTCTCTGGTCATGCCTTTGCATATCCTGCTCCCATTTTTAGGAACACTCTCCCTTAGTCTTCACCCTGATACTTGATACACACTAGGAGCCCATTAAATGTGTTTTTAATAATGATAATTTTTCATTAAAAGTCTCGGGTATATATTAAGTGACAGTATATTAATCACTAAAATGTAAAAATCCCTATTCCATATTTGCATTCAAAATCAATTTTCTGTCTTACATATACACACACACATAGACTTTTCCAAAGGATGTCGCTGCATTCCTACCTCATGTTTCATCTGGAAGTTCTGCACAAGGTTGAGGTCAGTAAACATCCTAATTGTACACAGTGCTGTTTCCAGATCAGACAGCTCAAAGTCACTGAAGCTAAAGTCAGTAATTTTAAGGGTCTGGGCAGATGGCACCACAGCAGCCTTAGGTAAGGAGAAAAGGAAAAAAATAATGCTGTTAATTAAAGCAGTAGTGATTCATAAAGTTTTCTTGTTTTGCTGCAGAGAAATAGCGTATTGTGGCTTTTTTTTTTTTTTTTTAATGAAAGACACTAGAAACCTTTTTGTACAGTGGCAACTCCACTCCCTGCATTTTTAAAACTGAGCCACATAAGAGTAACTAATATGGTTCAAGGTAGGCTAAGTGGAGAAAAGGGAGTTGTCACCCTTAGACTGTACCTAGAAGGGTGAGCAGCACTAAGAACTCTAGTGATCTGGCTCCTTTATACCTCCCCAGTCTTATTCACTCTAAAGAAATTTATAATTTATTGAGTAAATATTCTGGAACCATCCCAGTGCTCTGGGCTGCAAATGAACTGGTAAGAAGGATAATGATAATGTTCTAAGGATTTTATGGTTAGTTCTCGGGACAACCTTATGAAGTGGACACTCTAGCTCCATTTTTCAAGTACAGGAACTTAAGCACAAAGAAGTTAATTTTCTTGCCTGTGGCAGCCCAGCTAGTTAAGGAACGAGGCGGCCAGGCCTCCAGTCCAGGAAAGCTATCCTGGGCTCAGACTAGCAGAATTTGTCTCCCACCATACTTGCCTCACACAAGCCTGATCATAAGAATCACCTGGGTGTCTATTAAAAAACATTGATTTGGACCAAGGACCCCTGGCTCCCTCTGACTGAAAAGAGCGCTCAGGCTCCTCTCCTAGATGTCTTGCTGGGCCCTGTGGGATGGGAATTTAAAGGAACCCCCGCTCCTCCGCCCTTGGACCATTTACCCTGTCAGCACTTTGTTAACTGTTTTAGTTAGATCAGGCTGAGATTAACTGGACCAACAGAGGCCTTTACGTGGTTTGAAGTAGAGGGAAGAAAAATTAAGAAATTTCAGCCAGGTTCTCAAACCCCTTAAGTTTCCTATGAGTGTCTGAGAGAGAACTACTCGGCTTTTGGGAAGTCAAAAGGTCAAAATAATAAAATCTTACGGAGCAATCTAAAGTAGATTTCCCTACAAATCTGAAGGCACTTGCACATTCTCCTTTTTATTCTGGACTTCAGATTTCACTTACATATACCAGACTTGTTTAAACTTTCCATGAATGTCACCCTCTTCATTCAAACTAAGTATTTTTTCCCAAGTCCAAAACTGACCAGAAAATACACATTCTGTTAAGTCAATTCCATAGGCTAATGTGTGGGCCGAAATAAGGGAAGAGAGAAGGATTAAAATATTTAGATAAAGGGCTTAGTTGTTTATACCAGCCTCCAACATGAGAGATGGAGCGGTAACTCAAGTTTGGGAAGTGTGGAGGTGGGAACAAGCCCATCTTTTAACTCAAAGCAGATAACAGCTGCTTTCCTTAAAATACAGTGCAATGGACAGGAGAACAGATGTTTTTTTCCTTAGGGCATCATTATTCTTACAGCAGGAAGTTTTCTTTCTTTCCTTCCACAAAGAACATTCTAAAAGCTACAGGATAGAAGCCAGCACAGCTTGTGCCTCTTTCCATTATCTACTGTAATTCCTAATCTCTCTCTAAGATAAAATAATCTTTTCTTTTGCTTGTTTGGTCACACCACACTACAACTCAAACATTCTGAGCTGACACAGTGGGGACATGCAAACATTTTCCATAAGAGTCTTGTGGTCAGTGATACACAGGTTCAGAATTCTGGGATCGATTATTAACAAGCCATGAGAAGTCAGAAATCCTTTCAAGCTCTTGTACTATGCTTCTTTGACCATCACAAGAAAATTCAACTTTCTGTTGAACTTAGAAAGGCTTGGGATAAAGGTGATTTTTAAGTAAAACATAATTACCTATTATTTTTACTTATCACATTGTAGGATAAAATATTATACATTTTACTAATAGCAGGAAATAAATTTACTAATAGCAGGGAATAAAGGATGTGGTATTTCTGGCATAGGATGTATATACAGTTCCAGATTTTCAGAGTTTCTTGTTTTAGTGACTGTTTTATTCATTAGAATTAGAAAATGAGATTTCTGAGTTTGATTTTCTTCAGGGGATTTTATTATTGCATTATGGTTTTGAAGCCTAACACAAAGAACATATTTTAAAGATTCTGTAAAACAATAAGGTACTATAAATGTAAATATATATATGTATTTTTATGGTAGTTCAAAACCACTGGAACTGTGATACCACCTAATACCACCCAATATTGCTTATTTATATGAGAGCACAATGTCTGAATTCTTGGACAAAACAGTTTAGATATTAGTGTTTAACTCAAATACAGTCAAGCTCTTATGGGACTATTGTTTTAATGTCAAATTAACCAAATATGGAATGCAAAAAAATAAAAAAACAAAGCTCATTGGATTAAAGATTCAATCTGACAATTTGATGGTATATGTATTCTTATGGGTTCTTTAATTGTATCTGCCACTCAAACTAATAAAGAAACTAGTTGGCCTCTAATGACTCTTCAAAGGAATTATATCATAAGTCACCTTTTTATGATCCTTTTCTAATACCATGGCCCTTTTTTCACCATTCTTGCAAAAATTAAAAATTAAAAAAAAATTCAACTCTGGACATGAAGAGCCACTAACAGTGGAACGAGAGTTAATCTTTAAGTGCAGGAATGTCTTGAGTTAAAGCAGTAGTCAGAGTTATAAAAATATTTTAATTTTGCAGTGACCTTCAAGCTAATTGTTCTAAATACCATCTGACTGATAAGGAGCTAAAAAGTAAACTGATGTCCAGCTGACAAAATGCTAGATCAGCTACCATATTTACATTTCAGCATGAGATGACTACCACAAACAGAAACTTAAAAGCAAAGTGAAGCAAGTGATAAAAAGGAATGTCTGCTATTGGTGGTACTAGTCCAGATGTTTCACTGACTTTGTCACCCTGAACAAGATGTTCAACCTCTCTGCCTGCTTTTTTGAATGTGTAAAAGAAGGAAGTTGGAGTAGACTATCTCTAAGGTTTAACATTTTCTGAGATGTTAACACATTTATCTCTGCATCCACAGGACTCAAACACCTCTTACTGCCTCCTCACTTTGAAACTAAATGCCATACTGTGAGTGGCATCTAGATCTTGCCATTGACTTTCCTGTACAGGGCCTAAACTCAATCTGTGATTTTCTCAGCATTTAAGGTACATGGATGGGTGCACCTTGGCAGTTATGACCATGTTGTATTTTTCATGCTCGATTCCATACACATCACTTTGGTCCTGCTTCCTCACAGGTAGTAGAAGGAGTGATATTTCACAGCTCCTGGTTTAAACAGAGGACCCTAGCCTCTACTGGGTTGAAGTAGTGGAGGGTTAGACTCAGTATGTGGTAGCCTCTCTTCTTATTGCAATAATGTTCTAAATTTTAAAAACTGACTTTTCTGAAATTGTCATCTGTCTTTGTTTTTTTTTTTTTTTTCAGGGATGGGGAGGTGTGTATATATTTGCCATCTATTTTTAAGGTTAATTAATAATCTCTCTCTCACAAGAGAGAAGAAGAAGGCTGTCTTCCAGGTCTCTTTGTTTCTTCTCTGCCTAGAATGCATATTCCCATGTTTTCACATAGCTAATTCTTTAACTTTTTTTGTGTCTCAGCTGCATCAGGGAAACATTCACTAGTCCTTGTGACAGCAAGGCTCCATCAACATCTGTTTCAACCTTTTTCTAGTGAGTCTTCATCTTCTGAAAAGGCTAGACAGCTAACAAAAATACATTTCCTTGACTCCCTTGCAACTAGGGTTCCAGATAGATTTGGTTTCGGCAATGAGGTAAACTTGAGACTTGAATTTCAAACGAATGCAGTGACACACGGGAAACTCATTATTATTTTCGGGGGACATGACTCTAGAGGGAATACTACAGTCCGGCAGCTTGCAGTTCTGCCAGCAGCTTTCTGACTCTGGCCTACGAACGTGGAAGTTTCCATAGTGAGCCAAATCTGCAATTTTGTTGTAGGACTTATTCCTGGGATGACTTATCTACCCTTTCCAATGATTTGAAAGTACTTAGTTAAATTCTTTCCTGCTTAAAATAGCTACAGTAGTTCCTACTACCCGCAATTGAACCCTGTTGGTGCTCTATTTTGCCACAAAAGCATGTGTAGGCAACAGACTCTCAAGGATAGAAATTGGGGTTTGGATACTTGACCTGATGGGTTTGAAGGCAGAGGGGGACCCGTTTCCATTAGAGCAGTGGCTCTCAAAGTTAAGTTCCTGGACCAGCAATATCAGCATCTGGGAACTTGTTAAAAATACAAATTCTTGGGCCCCAACACAGACCTACTGAATCAGAAACCCTGGGAGTTGGGCTCAGCAATCTGTGTTATAAAAACCTTCCAGGTGATTCTGATGAATGCTGAAATTTGAGAACTACTGCATTAGGGATAGGTTATTGGTAGTAAATGGTAGTTAACAGTCATTTTAAGTGAACATTTTAGAACAAAATGCCTTTTTGTGGACCCAGTGGTGACTGCCATATTACAGAGTGATGGGCAGAAACTGTAAGTGGGTTGGCTGCTTCTTGCTGTGTCGGAGAGATTAAAGAAAGAAAATGAAGGGTTCTGGACTTTAAATTTTTGGCTCAAATAATGGTCTGAAAACTAGGGAATTTTTATGGCTTTCTTAAAACAGCCTATTTCTTGTAGCACTGATGTAGACAAAACCCAAGTGTAGTCTTATCCTACAGGTTGGTGAATTACAGTGTAGGTTGAAATCACAGACTTGCCATGTCTCCTATGTGAAAATTAAAGCACTGATTAGGAAGGAGTGGAGCACCAAGAAAGGTAATTGAGACATTTGAAAAGATCTGGATAATGATATGTATCTCAGACCATTCACTCTAGGATATGTTTCTATGTAATTTCACAATGTTTTACACTTTACAGTCCTACCTCTTTTTCCTAATTGTAATTATATAAATTGCATAATTATCTTATATATGACTTTTTATTCATTGTTATATTCGGAGCACCTAATATAATGCCTGCATAGAATAGGAGTTAAATATTGAATGAATAAATTAATGCGTCTTTAAATCATCTAGTACCTAATCAGTTCTCCATATTATGCAGAAATATTTCATATAAATTTCATTTGGCACAGAGCTATAGTATAAATATTCATATTAGTAATGAACTATACTGTGGCAGAAACAACCAATATGTTATGGTACATGCCTTTTTCTCTTAAAGTTCAATTATTCAATTTATTTCCTTTTGAAAAATTTTAATGATAATTGAGTTTCTTCTTTCTTCTACACAACAAATACTCCATTGCTATAATTTTTAAAAATCTGTTACAGTTTGTCTTAATAATCATTAAGATTTGATTCTCTCACTTCCAACAACACTGGAAACCCAGGATGAGAAAGCAGTGACCAGTTTTCCAATTTTTAGTTGCTTTTGTAGGAAGTTACTGAAAATGGTGAATTCCAGATTGCTCCCCATAAGTAGAGAATTGGTTATACATTCTGAATAAAAGGTTTACACTATTTTGTGCTTACAAAATATGACACATTTTCCTCCAGTAAGCTTTCCACCTACCTAATTCAACTTAAGCTAATTTAAACATGAGTGTATAATTTCTTTTTTTTCTTTTTTCTTGAGACGGAGTCTCACTCTGTCATCCAGGCTGGAGTGCAGTGGCATGATCTTGGCTCACCGCAACCTCCACCTTCCGTGTTCAAGCGACTCTCCTGCCTCAGCGTCCCGAGTAGCTGGGACTACAGGTGCGTGACACCACACTGGCTAATTTTTGTATTTTCAGTAGAGAAGGGGTTTCACCATGTTGGCCAGGCTGGTCTCACACTCCTGAGCTCAAGTGATCTGTTCACCTTGGCCTCCCAAAGTGTTGGGATTACAGGCGTGAGCCACCACACCTGGCCAAAAAAATGAGCATATAATTTTTTGAGTGCTTATTATTGGAATGGCTAGTGCAAAAAGGCTTGGAACATCATAGGAACATAAAGATCTCAATGGTATTGCTACTAGATATTGTAAATTGACATCCCTTCCCCTACCTATTGCCACTATGAACAAAAACTAATACTTAATGGAGCATATGTACCAGGAACTCTAGTTATTGGTACATATGCTCTGATTCTGTGAGGTAAATTCTTTTATTATCCTCATTTTACAGAGAAAGAAACTGAAGCACAAATAAGTCACATATTTGCCTGACATCACATACCTGGAATTTGAACCTAGGTATCTCTCTTTCTCTAGCACACAATGCTCTCCATCTTGCTACAGTCACAAATATGAAAGCTGACAATGAAAACGTTACCTAAGTGTCCCTCAACATGGCTGGCTCTATCACCCGTTTGTAGGCTGTTTTATATATTTAATAAACTCTCGAATTATTTCTAGTTTCTAAATTACTTTAAGGGAAAAGAAAGCAAAATCTTATTAAATGTATTGAAGGAGCTTGATCTGTGTTTCTTTTTCCTTCATGCTAGATTATAGGATCTCTAAAAGTCTGGGTTTTCCAGATCCATTCGCTGATTCATTCATTGATTCAATAATTCTACAAAACACATAAACCAAGCTCATATAAAGCAATCACTAAATGATAGCTATTATTATTATCACCAAGAACTAACAGCCTGAAGGGAAAGATAGATACATATTTGAAATACATATTTTTTAAGTGGAATAACAGAAGGAAGTATGTTAGTAGTTTGCCCAAGTGATCCCTAACAACACAATGATACAGAATGTGAGTCCACATTTTACTCTTTTCATTAAAGAGAATCTTTCCTGAGCTTTATCAACGCCTCACTTAAGACAAATGACAGCCCTCCTTTTGTTCAACTTTTTATCATTATAATGGCTATTCACACAACAAAAGGGACATACTTGTGTCCCTTTTACACAAGTATAGAGAGTGCCTTTTTGTTTATTCAATAGAGAAGAAACTTTTAATGTATGGTCTCCTTGAAGCCCATAAAGCATGTGTTTGTAGAAAATAATGTACTTGGGTAAAGTAAATATAATGATCATTTAAAAATTATTACATTTCTAATTTCTAGTGGCTGCCTCATGAGAAAGGTCTATATTTAGGCTACAGTAAAGTCTCTGGTAACTTCAGCAGAAAATAAAGACATGTGGCTACATGGCTATGCAATTTGCTCAGTTGTGTAATCTTTGTACAAAAAAGGGTCATACTGCTATCAAAGGCCTTCTGCTTGCCTTAGGTCTGAAGCATGAAATCTTAAGAGCCAAAATAAAAATTATGGAAACTGGAAACAATTCCTAATAGCCAACTGCTAAGAAAAGAAAAGGCTCTTTATTCAGAAAGTTATTTATTAAAGTAAGTGTGAAAAGAAGGGCAGTGACAGAACTTGATCTTTCATAAAATTCTTCCAATTAGCCTCAGTGTTGTATAAAGGCATTTTGTTATATTGCTCCTTGGTATTTATTCAATATAAACAGTTAACAGGAAAAAAGGTTTCAATCTCAATAATCCATTTTTTAAAGAAATTATTTGTATTAGATATTTGATGAGTTATATCAGTAGCTGCAAGGAGACATCTTCTGCCAGGTGTTTTAAGCTCTTCTTATCAGCCCTGACCACCACCCCTACCCTCACAGGATGCTTCTTAATGGAGAACAGTTTAATTCCAGGTCTCTGAATAAAGCCATCTTGACAGCCGCCACATTACACCTTATGGAAGACTATTTATTATCTCTCTTCTCCACTTTCCACATGCACAAAAGGAGTGTTTTTAAAGAAGAAACCACACAATTAGTTTATAAGGCTTTTAGAATTTATCTTTTTCCAAGAGGGAAGTGAATCCAAAGACAGATAAGAAAGAAAACTACTTTTAAAAAGGGAGTGAGTATGAAACTCAGTAAATCTTGCAGACAGTAAAGAGGTGAATCAGGCACAGTGGGACTGGACTAGTATATTTTCTTTAATAACAGCATCAACATGTTATATGATTTTTCCTTTTTTTCTAACATTATATAAGTGAATCCCTTTAAATCTCAATAAGAAAGAGGCACCAACTATAAAAAGCTTTATAATGTGCTTATAGTTTTTCAAAATCATATAGAAAGCATGTAA